GCATTTAAAACAGAGGCATTCATGCAAAGTCTCACGACGGGCTCTGCAAACTAATTTAAGAAAATTAAATAGGTCAAATTTTCAGCCTCTGTGCTCTAGCGATACCCTTGTGAGGATGCCCTTGCACTGTAAGCGAACCCCATCCATCTCCACTGCTCCTGGTAAGATGCGTTAGAGGTACAGGTACGTAGCTGCGAATGGCAGTACTCGAACTTTGGAAGTTGAAACCCAGTTTTAGGGGCTGCTGGTGTGTGCAGACGCAAACAGACTCATCTTCCTCCCCAGGCAGCAAGTGGTGCTGCTGCTGGCAGGCTGCGCTCCGCCCCAGCTCCTCTTCCATCTGCTTCATCCTTGGACCCGACTGCTGTGGCCGCTCGCAGGGGGATTTTGGCAGCAGATGCCCAGTTTGGGAATGAGGTTTTGAAGCAGTGACATCTGGGTGTCAGCTTGTCTTCCCAGCTGGTCTCTTCAGTGGTCTCGTCTGGATAGACTTTTGACTCCGCTGGCGGCTCAGAAGTTGGGGTCAGTCTTTGTGGCTCGCTGGTCTTCCCAGAAGAGCACTTGTCTGTGATTAGTGCCTCCGAAGGAGCTAAAAGATATCTTCGCGTGTAACTTTAAAAATAAAATCACTCTGGAAAAATCTCATGGAATTCGCATAAAAACCTATAAAATTCCATTTATTAATGCGATAGGGAAAGATTTCCACTCTCAGTTCAAATTTCTTTTCTCCTCTACTCGTGTACGGTGGGTTTTTTTTCTTCGTTGCAAAATAAAGGCTCATAAAATCCGGAATAATTTGCCGAAGATATACCAGAACATGCCTAAAATTACTCATGTACAGGACGTAGTCCTTAATGTATTGGTGGAACAGCCACCATCACTCTTACAGCAGGGAGATCAAAAAGCATCTCTGTCAATACCTCCAGCTCTTACAGCTCTCAGCAATAAACTGAAAGAGGAACTGAAAATCACTGGTTCTTCCTCCAAACAGGACCGAAATGAAACACTTTGTTCTCATCTAGGAGTTTTTGCTGTATGAAGGCGAATCCCTGCAGGCAGATAGATGTCCTTCCCTCCTCTGTTATATATAAATAGGGGAAATAAATGCACCAGAGCTTGAAAAACCCAAAGCAGCCAAGTACGTTGCCTTGGTTTTTTGGTTTGTTTTTTTTTTCTTCCCTCTGCTTTTGCTACCAATTCTGAGTGCTACCTGAAGACTTAATTTTTTGATTTACTCTTTTCTCATGCCTCTGACAGCACTGGTGGAGACAGAGTGTAGCTGATCCCTCAGGTACCTCCCAGATTCCCTTTCGATGGTCGTCTTTGTATTCAGAGGGAGTTTGATAGTTAGGCTGAAGATTAAAATGTGTGTGCAGGTGCAGTAACAATTGTACACAGGCTTTGTCCACTGAATCCTTTTGCGTCCCACAGCACCGCTACTCTGAACATCACAGCACACTCGTGTTGCAGGTACAATCTAATACGTACCCAGCGATTTTGCTGTATTAAAATGAATAAAATGGAAAATAAAGGAAATTATTATAGCCCTGGATTTATTGTGAGATCAGGCCAGAATTTCTGTGTCTTAAGTAACTTTTTTTTCTACAAGAAAATACAGACATTGTAATGAATTCAGGTAAAAGGGAGTATTATTTTGAGAAGAGGAGCATATTTGAGGTGTTTAAGTATTCTTATTGTTCTGCCGCAGAAAGGAGTTAGGAAAAAAGAAGATAAAAATATACCCCGCGGTAATTCAATAATATGTCTTGCTGTAGGTATTGGAGGAATTGACTGTTCAGCTGCACTCCCACAACACTCCTCAGGCATCAGGTTAGACCTGGTTCCACAATTCTGTTTTCTAGCATGAAGCTAGTTGGCCATTTGGGATCAGACAAAGTGACTCTTCAGTGGGTAAAATGTAGAAATGTATGCATGTCATTTTTACTGGAGTAAATACTCAGTGTATGATTATATGAAAAAAAGGAATTTTGCTGATTTAAAAAGAACCATATACTCATTTTTTTGGAGGAGGCTCTCAGCAGAGGAGAACTGGAGTGGCAAAATACCGATGGATAAGTGAGTACAAGAGGACGTGCAGGATATTCTTTCCATGGCAGAAAGTAACTTGCTGTGTTCTCTGCACTGTTTTCTTCTGCCTTGGTACACATTTCTGGATGTATGACAGAAGGATGTAAATAGTGGGAGACTCCAGTTGTGCAGACCCTTGCTGTCACGCAGCTTATATCATTCTTTCAAAAGAAAATAATGAAACAGCAGTGCTAACAACATCCATTCTAGGTCTAACTGAACCGTGAGGATTATGTTGGCAAACACAATATCGTTTTGTGTGGCTCTACAACAGAAGGTAATTTGAGTTGGATGCATGATCAGGTAGGCTCAGCTCCTCAAAAGCTGTTCTCTCAGGCTTCCACTCCATTATACATGCAGAACTGTGGCAGCTTCTCTAAGAGCATAAAAAGTACGAAGAGAAGGAAAGCAGCGTACCCAAGTACATCTCAGATTTCCCCTGAGAGCTCTCTGCTAGCAAACCAAGCAAACTGGTTTGGGGAGAGGCTGTAGTTTTCCAGAACTGCAAAAGAACAGCGCCAAACTGCGAAAATGCGAAGCGTTCCTGAATTGTGGCAGTTCCAACGATGGGTTGTCAGTTAGAAGTGAGAGCGCAAAATCAAATCCAGTGGGGAGCAAAGAGGATCGTGATGGCACATAAGAGATTGCATTTTTTCTGTATGCCTGGAAAATCTACGGAGCAAGTGGGTTCTTGTGGCGGGTGGTTTATTTGGGGGGTTTGGGGTTTTGTTTTGATAGTTTGGTTGGGTTTTTTTTGTTTTGTTGGTTGGTTGGTTTTTTTTTTGGACAGAGAAGAAGTGCCCTGTTGAATAATGAGGATTCACCTGATTGCTTTACTTGAAAGTTGTTTGGAAAACATCTGCAGAGTAGAGAGACAAATGCAGCTGAGTGGAAGAGACTTAGTCGTTGGGACTCTTTAACTACTTTTCTTAAAAAGAGGAAATCTGCATATTAGGTGCTTTGGGGAGCTCTTTTAAAAGGAAAAGGATTCACTGGATAAAATACAACTGTTGGGAATGTGGGCTGCTTCTTGAGGAAGGCTGGAAGAAAAGCAGGGAAAGAAGGTGGCAACGCCAGATGGGGGAGATTCTCAGTGATGGTATCTCACAGGTTTTGCATTGTTTTCGCATGAGATCCCTTTTTATGTTTAGTTACTTAAAGATGTGGGTATCCTCGCCCTCTGTTTTGTGCATTTTCTTCTCATTTTGACTCTTCCAAAATGAATTTAGGTTTATATATCTTCACTTATACCAGAGGATTTTTTCAAATTTCCTAGGTTCTCAATTTATGTCAAACTCCAGATTATAAAACATGAAACATTTTGTTTCCGAAGATTAGGATTTTAAGAGATCAGAAGTTTACTTGGAGCTAGTGATGCAACGGTAATAGATGTTTAAGTTTTCACTGCTGAGTGATATTTTTATAGGAAATACGCAGCTGCATTAACTTCCCCATGTAGCCCTTTCCTGCTCTCTAGGTGCCATTTTCTCTGGTGAATTAGAGAAATCCAAAAGATAAATGGCAAATCTGCTGAATCATCACGAGTAAAACCTTCAGCTAGGAGAATATCTTTTTAATAATAATCTTAAAAAAGCTGTATCTGGCAACTGATGCTCACTGGAGATTTGAGTTTGGTAAAGAGTAAATGAATACCCCTGAATCTATGCACAGGTTTGTAAAAGAGTCCATGTCAACTCTGGAAACAAGTGGAGAGGTCTAATTTTTTATTTTTTATTTTTAAATAATTTCTCTCAGCCAACTTCCAGTGCTAAATTTCTACCACTTGTGGTGGACACCACTGCATATCAAAGATCTGATCTTGTATTGCTGGCCATGGCTTGGTTTGAAAAATCAAACACATAGGTGAGCATTGCTGGTGTAGAGCCCTTGTCATCAGTTATTGTTTTATTTATCTCTTATGTAAATTGAAGAATAAGGAGGCAAAAATCAATGGCTACAGAGAAAGTAGAATAGTAACCAGTCTCCTCTATATTTGTTGGAGCAAGATAAGACCAAACTAATACTGTCGTTTCTCCTCCCTCTCTTCTGAACAGTTGCGTTAGTGTTATATTTTGCTGTGCCAAAAATTACTAAGGAGATTGCTCAAATGAACCAAAAAACTAGGAACTTAATTCCATACTTTTCTCCTCACTGAAAGGACCGACGAAGTAGCAGTCTTTGTGTTTCATTGATGGGTTGCAGCACTGCTTCTGCAGCTGGGGTTTATATTTGAGCTGGGATCTGTCACGGCTGGGGGTGATGCAGAGGCACTGAAGTGTGCCACAGTCCCTTGGTCAGGAGGGCCAAGCAGGAATGTCCTGTGAGGAGTGGCTGTGGGAACTGGGGGTGTTTAGTCTGGAGAAGAGGAGGCTGAGGGGAGACCTTGTCACCCTCTACAACTACCTGAAAGGAGGGTGCAGAGAGCTGGGTTTGAGCCTCTTTAGCCCAGTAGAAAGCGACAGGACAAGAGGGAATGGCCTCAAGTTGCATAAGGGGAAGTTTAGACTAGATGTCAGGAAGCATTTCTTTCCAGAAGGGGCTGTTGGGCGTTGGAATGGGCTGCCCAGGGAGGTGGTGGAGTCCCCATCCCTGGAGGGGTTCAAGAGTCAGGTCGATTTAGAGTTTAAGGATACGCTGTAGGTGGGAACTGTCAGTGCTGGGGGAGCGCTTGTCCTAGATGATCTCCAAGGTCCTTCCCAACCGAGATGATTCTGTGATTCTGTGAATGAAGGTGGGAATCAGCACTGATACTTGTCTCAATTGCCTTGACTGTTGAACACGCCAAGCATACACACACAGCTTTGAGGTTTTATTTATGTCTTCTTTTGTTTTGCTTTGTTTCCTTGTTGATGCAATTTCTTCTAAAGGATGCTCAAATAAACAAAGAGGCTCGTTCTACTTATTGTTTACAGGTTTCCAACCTGTACCTGTACGACAGCGTGCTCATGCTGGCCAATGCTTTCCACAGAAAGCTGGAGGACAGGAAATGGCACAGCATGGCAAGTCTGAACTGCATGAGGAAATCCACCAAACCTTGGAACGGAGGGCGATCCATGCTAGAGACTATTAAGAAGGTGAGAATAGTCAAACCGCGGTTGTGCGGGCAATTAAAAGTGTTGCTTCGTTTCTCCTTGAGATTAGCTTGTGAAGAGGTTTTTGACCTCTATTCAACTTTTCTTTTATTACAAGCAAGTGATTTACAAGTACCGGGAATGATCTACAGCTCTTAAACAAGGAAATGATTTATTCCAAACAAATCACACTGCAGTGTTGCTCCCGTGGTGTGTTCTACTTCTGTTATCCTCATAGCTACCTGCTGTGGATATAGTGTGATCAGGAATAGTCATACAAACTGACGTGTGCATGCATCATCAGCGTAATAATTTCCCCACAAGAGCTTAAGGAGCTTGGGGGCCAACCAACAATAAGGTTTAAGATTTACGTTCCGTGTACTACAGCTCAACTAGCTTGGTAAGTCAGCCGAGCGTTGGTAAGTATCTGTTTGTGTACTGCAGCCCAGAGCCAAAGGGTTCTGGTGTAGCTGAGTTGTCCTTAACAGTTACACCGTCTTGCAGCATGTTGAATCAATCAAAGATGGGCAGTAGTGACTTTGCAGATGCACGGTAACTTCTTTTCTGAAAGTTCTATGATCACAAATACTAGTGGAAAAAGTAAATTTTGACTATACTATCTTTTTAGCAATTATTTGGAAAAAAAACCAAACTCTTTCCCCTATATATTGATGAAATGGTTTTCCTCTAGTAAAATGTTGCAGTTTGATCGAGTGTCATGCTATGCTCCGACTGTTCCTAATGACGCCATCCTTTGTGGCTCAATTAATTCAAACTTTAGTGTCATTTCAAGCTTCTTTGCTGCAAACCCAAAATCAAGCTCCGTGATACTTTCACAGAGAGGTTTTAACGATACTTTAAATTTAAACTTTTCTTCATGCCTCTCTTGGGAGCACGGCAGGCTCAGTCTTTCTTTTGGGCGTGGACTTCATGCCTTTATATTCAGTCCTAGAACTGAACCTGCTGCCCCCAGTTACCCTGGGAGGGCTGTTGTCTCAGAGTCCACCAGGGGCCTTCTGATTTTCTTTGGGGTCTGTCTCTGTGAATGGTGGAGACCTGATGGCTTTTTTCCCACAATATAGAGTGGATGTGTTAGTGGGGGGAAAAAAAAATAAATCTTTTGTCTAGCGCTGTGTTTGAGCTACTGAAGAACATGTAATTGCCACATTTAAGTTCAATGTAAACATTTCCAAATACCTTTAATGAAGAGGAGAGTTTATAAAGGCAAATTTGTGCTGTTCTAAAATTTCTGAAACTTATCTCCTTAGGGCCATATAACTGGGCTTACTGGTGTTATGGAGTTCAGAGAAGACGGCGCCAACCCCTATGTTCAATTTGAAATACTGGGCACCAGCTACAGCGAAACGTTTGGCAAAGATGTGCGGAGGGTAAAGAGATTCTGCTTCTTTCTCTCTTGTTCTCCTCTAAATAATTGTACACTCTACTTCACAGGAGAAAATGTTATTCTGTAAGAATGAAGTAGTGCTACACCGCAGAATAAATTTGCTAGAAGAGAAACATTTTCTAACATCTTGCAGGCTTAAATCTTGAAAGCTAACTCGGTAGCTTTTATGGTAAGCAGGAGACTGCCAGGTCGTTTCCACATGTGCAGTAATGATGCAGTGCCACAACGATACCGTGAAGTTGTGTTACTGCGTGTTGTGTTGCCGTGAAGCAGCGATAATAGTGAAGGCTGCGTTATTCTGCTCACATATTTTATTGTTAATTAAGATATAATTGATAAAACTGACACTTGTCTTACTAAGGAAGCTGAGACTATAAATTACTATACACACAAAGATGCTTCAGAGTACAGCTGCTGAAAGAATTTGAGATAAATAAATTAAAAAACTCGACAAGTTAATTTCCAAAATGGATGATGCTAGATCACTTAAAGTAAAGGAACAAGGACTGATGGGCATTAGAAGGCAGTTAGAGTGCTTCCATGCAGTTACTAACATAAATTGTTAGAGGCTGAGCAGGCTACCTCGAGCGTGTTCATGCAGGGGGAATGCTCCAAAAATACCTGAAACTCTCAACTGAGCCGTGAGGTTCCGACTGGAATCCAAGCTACAGAAAGATCCTGAACTGGTCAGCTGGTTGAAATACAGACATTACCACTCTGTGGTAAGGCATCCTATATTGAGCAGAGAGGAACAAAGAGGATTCCGTGAAGAACTAAAATTTATGCCGTTTTCTGTCTCCATTTGACCTTTTTTTTTTTATTGTGTTTTGTTTTGATTCACCTGAATTACGTGACCCTAAATGGAAAAACAAGCAAAGAACTTCTGTTTACATTATCATCTCAAACAGCTAAATTCTCTCGGAGTCTAATTTGGCACGAGGATTCTGGACATGGAGCCAGAAGCTTTACAATATCTATTAGAAATTCAACAGAAGGAAGAGAAGTATTTGAAATGCATAAAGCTCCAGGATATATAATTGAAAAACTTCTCTTGCCAAAAAAATGCGTCTGAAGATTTCAGATTGGCTAGGCACCCTCCTGCATTGTAATGACAAGAAAAGGCTATTCCTCAGCCCAATTTCTAGAAGGTTCGTCCTGCAAATGAGGAAGTCTTAAGTTCTAAACACCGCCCGAATGTTGAAAAATTGTCTGAATTTTGGAAACAGCGTTGCCTCTTTAATAAAATGGAGTTGGTTTAGGAGGTCTAGAAAGCAATTCCTGTTCATAAACGCAGAAGTCTGCACCTCACTTCATGCCCAAGTATGCGAATCAGAAGCAGCCGGTGCCTCGTGAGATGCTCTGGACTGTCCTACTGTGTTTCCAGCTGCCGCTGCAGAGAAGCCTGAGTGTCCTCTCAGTGCTGCGTTGACCCTAGCAGATGGATGCCATGGGGCGTTTGCCTTTGGTGGCAGGTTCTTACAGGATCGCCAAGTTTCTCTACGTCATGTAATTGCTTTATGCTTCAGTTTACCTTTCGGTTAACTTGGCACGATGACCACTCAGAGCAGGTCTGAGGCCTTAAAGGGAAATTATAACCTACGCATATACATGATTACGTTGTTTTTTTTTTTTTCTAATGTACATTTCAAGTATGGTAACACCTACACAGAACCTCTCGTTTCAGTCTGGGTAGCACTGACCAAACTGAGATATAATCCAGATGTGTGAACTGGAGATAGCGAAAATACCCCTCGAAAGGGACCACAAGGCGAAGAACTAGGTCAAATGACAAATGGCAAATTGACTCAACCGATACGACACTGGTCGCTTGTCATCCCGAATGTGCTACTTTGGGATTAGGTGGCTAACAGAGGAAGACTTAACTCTTTGGATCTTAAATGCAGAATAAAGTCCCCAAAATTAAATGGATAAAAAGCTACTGGCTGTGGAATACTACTCTAAACTAAATCGAAGTTCTGAAAGTGATCCTTTTAACTTAATGTGTAGAGAGGGTAAAAAGTCAGCAATATGCTTGACAAGTCTGTAGAAGAACTTGGAAGAAATTATATTTCTTACAGCAACATTATCGTGGAAGTACTGATATTGAATTATTTAGACATCCTGACTTTTTATTATTGCAGCAAAAATATGTTAGAGCTCAGAAGTACTTTTAAAAGCTCAAAAAGTCATGCTTGTCTCGTTTATATTACTTGAGTCAGAGATTTATTGTCAGTTGTTTCCACATCAGCCTTTCCTCAGATTTAGCGCTGGAGGAACATATTTCTGGTGAAAACCAGAGGGTTCCTTCTGCACGTTTTTCTTTTCTTCTGTATGGAGAGCATCTGTATCTATTCATCCCTGTCTCGACCCTACAAAAAACCTTTGCACTTAGTCTCTGTGACAGGGTAGGGCGAAAGAGTATTACATTGAGTGTTGAGCCTTACTGGAAATCCAGTCGAAAGCTAGTGGACTTTTAATAGTCAACATCCCTTATAAAATTTCTCGGGGATTGTTTCTACTAGAAAGATTCCTACGAGGATGCCCAAGATAATAACCCAGTTGTGACAGGAATTTTCAGGGCCTTTCTTTAGAGGCATCTTGCCTCTTCCCAGTTGCCCTGAGATCTGGTCATTCTGCAGACAGTTGTTACTTCCACTAGCTGTGATTGACTTAAGAGTGCACGTAAATATATGTCTTTGCTCACTTAGTGTGCCTTCCCCTTTATTTCACAAGTCTAACACCATGTTTCTCTGGTAAAGTCTGATAGTGGCTTTCGTGTATTTTGTGCGTGTGTTTTCTTTTTCCTTTGTTTGGGAGTACTTTAGTGAAAGCGAAACTTCAGAAAATGTTCTAATGTCTTTAGTTTAAACATAAAAGAACAGGGTATGTCCTTTACGGTATGTTGCCTTGCTTCACAAAAGGCTCGGGTGATTGCCATCTATTCATGGTGTGCATGTGGAGGTTGAGTAAGCGTGCTATGAATACTCTTAAAAAAAAAGAGATCGGTGTGGCGACTTCTCAGGGTGCTTGAAAGTTGAAGGATAAGATTGTCAGAGAAACTGAAGAGGCTTAAATGCCTAGTGCCTGTTGTTTGTCGGTATGATTTATGTTCCTAATGTCTGTAAACACCTTTAAACATAGCGACCTGAGTGTGTGTATATTAAAAATCAAAACAAACAAACAAAAAAAACCCCACAAACAAACAAACCACACAAAAAAAACTGGATATAAAGAGATAAGGGAACTGTAAAAAGTATGAAACATAACAGAATTAACCAAAAAGAGAAAAGTAATAATTTTTGTAGCTGATGCATTGCTGATGTTTCAAATTAAATGAAATCTGAGTGCAAGAAAGAATGAAGGAAACACAGAGGACGCCTAAATTGGAGAAAGAGGAAAAAGTGGTATAAAGTGTTGAGGTGAAGTGTGTGGAGCAGAAGGAGTGAGACTGATAGGCTGTTCTGTTCACAGCCCTTTGAGACTTTTGGGATTTGCGTTTGTAGTGGATTAAAAACCCCCTTCTGCTCAATGTCCACCCCCACGCTAAGGGAATATGCATCAAATTCAGCAGCAGCTTTAATTTCTGTAATTGTTGGGTTACTCCCCAGTGAATGCTCTTCCTCTGAATTTAGAGTTATCGACGTGCTGCTTTCTTTTCTCTTTTACGTTCTTATTTATTCATCCCTTATGATTTATTTTTTTACCTCTGTGGATACGTAAAGACTCTCTTGTATGTTCAAATTTTTATGCCTTCTACCTTACGTTCCTTGAGCCTTTGGCTCATCCCCAGCACTGGCAGTGCCTGGGGGTGATCCTTACCTCATTTTGCTTCATTGGCCCAATGTCCCCATCTGTAGCATGGAATTGAGGGTGCTTGTCTGCTTTGTACAAAGTTTCGAAGCCTGATAGAAAAAAACCCAAACAAAAAAAACCCCACAAGCAAAAACATTTAGCTCTTAACATTGAGAAACTGAATGAATCGTGGCATTAAAAGTTGTGTATTCCTAGTTGTGTGAGGGAACATCCAACCAGAGCTCGGTTTTTGTCAGTACAGAACTACATCCCACTTGCCCAGCACAAGGGACGTGAAGTGGGAAAGGACGTCAGGACGACGTTAATTCCCTCCTTATTGACCGTGTATATTATAAGTTCTTATTAATGAAAGTCTTGCTGTAACTTCCAGAACATCGGAGCCGATCCGTATTTCTCATGTTTCTGTGCTTGGGTGGACTCTGCCCAAGGTAATAGTGTGATGATGCAGCTGCGAGAGCACAACCAAGGGAGTCGGGACTCCAGGGTGGGTGGTATTTCTGGAAACTCCCTCACTTGCAGTGAGCTCTTGAGGTGTCAACCCGTTTGTTCTCATTTGACCAGGTATGCAGTGAGTACTGGAACAACTCACTGCCCTTGTAGGGATGGGATCAGGCTTAGTTAGATAATGCCCGCTTATCTTCATCCTCATCCTTGGCAGGAAGATCTTCTGTAAGTATGAAATGATGTTGTTATTTGGTTTATTTTATGACAGGGATCATATTTTTTTTTTCTAAAGCAATCTGCAATTCTTTCCCAAGCTGACTCTAATGAAGGCAGAATTAATGATTTACACACATGCTGTATTTCATAAGAAACATTCTGTTCAAGATGATAACGTTGGCCATTGGTTATTCATTCCTGTCAGTTGGTTATGTTTTAAATTAGATTTTCTTGAAATATCATCTGCTTCATAAACAGTCATACTTGTTTCCTCCAGCGTTTCTGAGACAGATTGCGGAACTCGCTGTACGTAGTTCTGTGATAGGTTTCACAGTTGTTGAAACCCCATTTCTGAAGTCTGGCCACAGTGCTTTAATTGGGATCGTTACTTTTAGACAGAACCTCGTTATTATCGTGATGAGAAATCCTGTGCTGCTTATTCACTGCAAAAAGGAACTGTATTTTTTAGGGGTCGGCACTATTAAGTGCTTTCATCTGCAAAAATATTGC